CTCTATCCCTTTAGCTTCCTCTCTGTAAAAAATCAATAAAATATATTTAAGAAAAGAAAAGAAAAGAAACTGGCACAATGAGCCCTGGCTGGTGTTGGTTGGAGCATTGTCCCATACACTGAAAAAGGTCGAGGGTTCGATTCCCAATTAGGGCACATACCCAGGTTGCGAGTTCAATTTCTGGTCATTGTACATGTGTGAGGCAGTCAGTCAATGTCTCTCTCTCACATAGTTGTTTCTCTCTCCCTCTCCTCCTTCTCTCTCTAAATTCAATAAAAACATACACTCGGATGAGGATTAAAAAAACAAAAAAGTGGCAGAATGAGCACCTGGAACCTTCTAGATTCTAGTTTTCTTCAGCATCAGTCAAGCAACCCTAACTTTTACTTAAAATGAAGAACTGCCCTGCGATTATGAATTTTCCCGAAAGCAACCTCACAAAGAAAAAGACACAAGTTTGGTTCAGCCATTTTGCAAGCTGACTATAGAATGAAATGTTGAATTTGTTTCTTGTATATAAAGAGAAGAACTAAAAGAAATTGTGTGGGGTTCGGTCCAGGAGAAAGATTTTGTTAGGAAAACCAGAGATGATTTAGGTGAACTACCAGAGACAAAAAATAAAAAATCAGTGATTGCAAAGCACTTTGTTACTAAATGTGGCATGAAATAGAAGCAAAGTGTTAGATGCAAATAGTGTGAAGGTCATTGTTATAGCAAAATATGATAGTTGGCATGGTATTCCCTTGAGAGAAATGTTTTTTATTTTGCAGGGGTTTTTAATTTTTTTGTTTTGTTTTGTTTTAATATACATATAAATGTCTTCCTAGAAATGTTGCAGCAGCTCCACCAGCAGCTGCTAGAAGCTGAGCGTAGGTCAATGACATACCTGAAACGGTACAATAAGATCCAGGCGGACTACCACAACCTCATCGGAGTCACGGCAGAGCTGGTGGATTCTCTGGAGGCCACGGTCAGTGGCAAGATGGTAAGGAAGATCCCCAGCGGTTCATGTCTTTTCAACATAAAGATGTACGGGCACGAACCATGTTGATATGCGATTCCTGGCCACTCCCAGACACGACCTTGCCTCTCTGTTTCACAAAGCCGAAGTGCACACAGGAGACCAAGCTGACGTGCTATGCTGTTTATCATGCTGCTTGCAGCATTTTATACTTTTTCCTGAGACGTTATTGCCCATGTCTTTATTTCTCTACCTGGTTCTTAATATCAGTACAGAATAAAATGGCAACAGAAGAAGATTATGTAGTGGCATAAAAGTAAGAGGGCGGTGCCCTTCTAGTAGATAGGAAATCTATAGATTTTCACATGTTGATTTTGGATCCAGTTACCTTTTCTGAACTCTGTTAATTTGATAGATTATTTTTTTTAGATATATTTTATTGATTTTTTACAGAGAAGAAGGGAGAGGGATAGAGAGTTAGAAACATCGATGAGAGAGAAACATCAATCAGCTGCCTCCTGCACACCCCCAGCTGGGGATGTGCCCGCAACCAAGGTACATGCCCTTGACTGGAATCAAACCTGGGACCTTTTAGTCCGCAGGCCGACGCTCTATCCACTGAGCCAAACCAGTTAGGGCCTGATAGATTTTTTGGTTGATTCTCCTGTGTTCTAGGTTAGTAGTCATATCATCTTCAAATAATATTTTTGTTTTGCTTTTTTCATTATATATCTTGTTTCCTTCTTAGCATATTATGGCTAAGACTGTGGGACATTTTTAAATAACGTGATCATGGGTATCTTTGTCTATTCCTGATTTTAATGAGAGTAACTCTAGTGTTGTACTTAATAAAACTAGCATAATAAAATCTTTGTGGAAATAAAACATTTTTAAATGGATGTAATTGGAGGTTCACATGCAATTTTAAGAAATAATGTAGACAGAGTCTTTGTACAGTTTCCCCAATTGTAACATTTTTAAAAAGTGTAACACAATGTCTCAACTAGGGTGTTAGCACTGATACAATCCATTGCTCTCATTCTGATTGCCCCAGTTTTACTTAACAGTCCATGCTTTTTTCAATATTTATATACATGTTTTACAAAAATGGACTCTAGTTCACATAGTTTTCTAATCCACCTTAATATTCAGTCATGTGTTCATGACGGCATAAAATATTGTTCACAGTGCCTCCCCTCTAGTGGCTAGGCTATTCGACATTTAGGTTGTTTCCAGGTTTTTACTTTTATAAATTATAAGTATAGTGGGAGATATCCTTGAGGATGAGCCTGCGTTGCATTTTTTAAAGTTGATTTACCAGCTTGAAACCTATGCTAAGGCCCTTCAAGGAGGCCGTGCTAATCTGATTCCACTGAGACAGTTCATTCTCTTATATCCTTGTCAACGTTGGGCATTATCAATAACATTTTTATATTTTGTAAATTTGATCCATAAGAAATAGCATCTCAGGATTTAAATATGCATTACATTGTTGACACATGAAATTAAACATTTTTTTCTTCAGTTTTTTTTTAATTTCAAGAAAAACGATTTTAAATATAATGATGTTACATGCAATAAACATTAATATCTCAAGAAAAACGATTTTAAATATGATAATGTTACATGCAATAAGCCTTAATATTTCAAGAAAAATGATCTTAAATATAATAATGTTACTTGCAGTAAACATTAATATTTCAAGACAAAAGATTTTAAATATGATAATGTTACATGCAATAAACACCAGTTATTCAGGAAAAATGACCAATCTCTCTGCGTCTCCACCTCTGGTCTTTGGATATCAGGATCCTGTCCTGTGAGTTTTCCATTGATTATTCAGGAAGCCTTTCTGTATTTCAGTTGTAATTCCAGCTTGTTCCTGGGAACATGTCCGTACAGCATCCTCCTACTCCGCTGTCATTTTTAATCGAAATTAAACATTTTTATATACTTTTAAAAAATATACTTTTCTTGCCCTTGCTGGTTTGGCTCAGTAGACAGAGAGTCCACTGAATTTGGCACAATTCAGCCCGCCGTCTGAAGGGTCCCGGGTTCGATTCTGGTTAAGGGCACGTGCCTGGGTTGTGGGCTCAGCCCCCATAGGGGGTGTTCAGGAGGTAGCCAGTCGATGTTGCTCTCTCATTGATGTTTCTGTCTCATCGATGTTTCTATCTCTCCCTCTCCCTCCCTCTCTCTGAAGTCAATAAAAACGTGTATTTCTAAACAAGCAGGAAACAGTATCAGGAGTAAGGGGTGGATCCAAAGTCTCTAAGCCACAGAAAACTCTAGAAACCTAGTCCTGAAAAGTGTGCAGTGTTTTTGACATTTAGAAGGACATTGGTGGTGCTTTAACTACTGAGAGCTCCTGAGTTAAAGCAAAATTTCCTCTCTGGCCCTTAAAGAAGCTCGCAAGAGACAGCTGTGACTGCCTGGCCGCGTCCGCTGTCTCTGGGTGGGTCTCATCCTTTCACCAGCCAAACTCATGTCTCTTTGCAGATCACTCCCGAGTACCTGCAGAGCGTCTGCATCCGCCTCTTCAGTAACCAGATGCGGCAGAGCCTGGCCCACAGCGTGGACTTCACGAGGCCCGGGACGGTGAGGCTTTGTGCTCCTGATCTGCATGCCCACCCCCCCCCCAATATTGTAACTAGTCTCACTGGCATGGCTCCGTGGTTGAGCATCAACCTATGAACCAGGAGATCATGGTTTGATTCCTGGTCAAGGGCATATGCCCGGTTGCAGGCTTGATCCTTAGTGGGGGTGTGCAGGAGGCAGCTGATCAATGATTCTCTCTCATCATTGATGTTTCTATCTCTCCCTCTCCCTTCCTCTCTGAAATCAATAAAAAATATATTAAAAAGATAATGTAGCTAAAAAACTGAAAGAGCAGGAGAAAATAATATTCAGAGGCTCTACCTCAGCTGACGTTGGGGTCTGTAAATGCCCGGGAGGAGGAGAAAGCTGTTTTAAAGGAGTGAGCAGTTGGAAGACGGCCCCCTGGGGAGAGGCGTGTTCTGCTCGACCCAGTGGCGCTGCTTGTGAGTGCTGAGTGCGGTACCAACGAGGGGAAAATATTGGAAGTTGTATGACCTAGAGCAGGAGTTTTCTTTTTAACGTTTTACTTGGAATAATTGCCAACACAGAAAAGTTGCAAAAATTGCACAAAGGACACTTTGTGTAGCCTTCACCCAGATTCAGCTGCTGGCAGTTTATCCGTTGGTTTGTTTACTTTCTGTCTCTACCCAATCTGTTTTCTGAACCGTTTGAGGACAAACTGCATGTACCATGGCCCTTAATTCCTAAATTCTTCAGTGCAGAGTATATTTCTTAATAGGGATACTGTCCTGTATAACATGTGATTATCAACTTCAGCAAATTTAATATTGATTCAGTATTCTTCTCTAATCTGTGCATTTTCCAGCAGTGTGAGCTGAGCCGTGTGTGTCCTTTATGCCTCCTCCCGATTGGAAGTCCAGGGCCATGCACTGCTGCCACATCTCTTAGCCTTCTTTACTCGGAACGTTTCCGCGGTCTTTTTTGACTTTCATGAAATTGAGATTTTAGGAGAATATAGTCCTTTCCCCTTTTGAAAATAGAACCTTTCTCCTTTTGTGTTTGACGTTTCCTCGTGATTAGATTTGGGTTTGCATCCCACACCAAGTACTACGTAGGTGCCGTCGTGTCCTTCTTAGGCAGCTCATGTAGACGCCTGTGCTGTTGAGTTGGGTCCTAACCAGAGGAGCAAGTCCTCTAGTAGCTCCCGGGGAAGTTTTCCAAGTTCATGAACCCAGGTCCCTGGAGCTCACACCACCCTGCTGCCTGTCCAGGGGCTGAGTGGGTACAGCCAGGTGCATTGGATTAGGAAGGAGGTGCCAGGGGATCCTGAGGCACCCCCATGGGTCAGAGCCATGACTTTTAATTAAGGGTTTGCCCATTAATATTGGGGTCTTTATAAACATACTAGGGCCTTTTGTAGTATTAAAAAAAAATTTATTCCCACCTTGGCTGGTGGTGCAATGGTTAGATCATTGGCCCACGTAATGAAGGGTAACGGGCTCAATTCCCAGCCCCGGACTGGTTGCATGCGGGAGGAAACCAATTGATGTCTCTCTCTCACATTGATGTTTCTCTCTCTCTATCCTTCCCTTCCACTATCTAAAAAGCAATGGAAAAAATATCCCTGGGTGAGGATTAATAAAAACAAAAATAATAATAATGATAATAAATTATTCTCAGAGAGAAGGTGGGGGAAGGTGGGTGGGCGGGAACTAATCAACCAAAGAACTTGTATGCATATATGCATAACCCATGGACACAGACAATAGGGTGGTGAAGGCCTGTGGTGGGGGGTAGGGGCGGGTTGGAAGGTATCAATGGGGGAAAAAAAGGTGACATAATGATTCTCGCTCATCATTGTTGCTTCTATCTCTCTCTCCCTCTCCCTTCCTCTCTGAAATCAAAAAAAATATATTTTAAAGAAAAGAATAAAGATTTTAAATAAAATAAATTTTAAAAAAAACAAAGATGAAAAAGGAGGATATATGTAATACTTTCAACAAAAAATAATAATCTAAGATCTATGTATGGTGTCAGATGGGTACAAGATTCATTGGGATAATCACTTAGTAAGTTATATAATTACTGGAGTGTATACCTGAAACTAATATTGTAGTGTCAACTATAATTGAAAAATAAAAAATGATTTAAAAAATAATAATAATAAAATATTCCCTACCTCATTCTCAAGTAGGTTTGAAGCAGCTATTATAACATTAAAAAACACAAGGTGTCAGATGGGTACAAGATTCATTGGGATAATCACTTAGTAAGTTATATAATTACTGGAGTGTATACCTGAAACTAATATTGTAGTGTCAACTATAATTGAAAAATAAAAAATGATTTAAAAAATAATAATAATAAAATATTCCCTACCTCATTCTCAAGTAGGTTTGAAGCAGCTATTATAACATTAAAAAACACAAATATGAGACATGAAAAAACAGAAAATGAAAGTAAAGAAGTTGTGGTTAAAACTCATAGGAACAGAAAGTAGACTGGTGGTTTCCTGGGCTGAGGGGTGGGGAAAATGGGAGCTGTTGGTCAAGGGGTAAAACCTCTGTTTATAAGATGTGTAAGTCCTGGGGCTCCAACGTACAGCATGGTGACTATGGTTAGCAGTACTGTATTATATACTGGAAAGTTGCTAAGAGAGTAGATCTTAAATGTTCTCACCACAAGAAATAAAAGGTACCTGTGTGAGGTGATGGACGTGTTAACTAACTGTATGGTGGTAATAATTTCACAATGTAGACATGTATCAGATCATCACACTGTACAGCTGAAACTTACAGTGTTATACATCGGTATCTCAATAATGCTGGGGGGAAAATAAATTGTGGGTAAAGGAAAATAAAGTTAGGAATGATAAAAGTAAGCCAGGGCTACGCTAGTACAAAATACATGTCATAAGTTGCTGTACACCTGGAGAGAGGCATATTTGGCTCTCAGGGCTTGTGCAAAAAGGGACATGTGAGCAGTTATGTGATTTACTTACAATGAAGAGAAAATAGTTTAATATTTATTATCCACTGTTTGCTGCATCCAAGCAGCCTACAAAGCACAACAGTAACGTGAATGCCGCCACAAGTTCCCACATAGACCATTTCAGCATCACTGAAGTTCCTAGGTGCCCTGTAGACCGTGAACTTCTTCCAAGTAGGTGTATTACCATTGTAATTTAAAGACATTTTAAAGAGAAGACAGGAGGTCGAACAAATGGCTATTCTGGTGCTGAGACCTGAGGGTCATTCCTCTTGTGGATCTTTATAGAAAGGACATGGTAACGTGGTGAAGAGCAGTGTCCTTGACCATATTCCCCCGGGTGCGTGGGGAAATGGCGCCTCACATGGACACGTGGTGTTCAGAGCTGCAGATCTGTGCTTCACATGGACACATGGTGTTCAGAGCTGCAGATCTGTGCCTCACATGGACACGTGGTGTTCGGAGCTGCAGATCTGTGCCTCACATGGACACATGGTGTTCGGAGCTGCAGATCTGTGCCTCACATGGACACGTGGTGTTCGGAGCTGCAGATCTGTGCCTCACATGGACACATGGTGTGTGGTGTTCGGAGCTGCAGATCTGCGCCTCACATGGACACATGGAGTTCAGAGCTGCAGATCTGTGCTTCACATGGACACGTGGGGTTCGGAGCTGCAGATCTGCGCCTCACATGGACACATGGAGTTCAGAGCTGCAGATCTGTGCCTCACATGGACACGTGGTGTTCGGAGCTGCAGATCTGTGCTTCAGAATGTGGCCATGGGATTTGTGCACGCACTAGGCTTAGGGAGTGGCCAGTTTTTAAATGTCAGTAAAGCACACAGAGATCTCCAGGTTTCAGGAAAGGGGCCCTCCAGGACGAGGGGCCGGCCGGGTGGACTTCGGTGCACACGTCCGGTGAAGTCAGTGTGGAGCAGTGTGTTTACCAAGAGGGATGGCTGCTTAGCACTCATGAGCCTAGCAGGTCTGTGTCCGACAGGACCACTCCTTTCTCCCCTGCCTTCCGTTTATTCATTAATTCCAGGTTTGTGGTATAGAATCCCATCCTATCTCGCATATGCAAGAATGCCGTATTTCCATTTTCTGGTGGTGGAGTGTGTGATACACCAGCTTGTTTAAAACTGCTGTCATGTTAATAAGGAGCAGTTTAAAGGGAGAGTGGTACAGCATAGCTGTCACTTTTTCCCGTTAGAAGCTAACACCATGTGTCCAAACCTAGTCCTGCCCTCCTTCCTGTTAGGAGCCATGAAGGCACTGAGCCACAGCCTGAGAAGCCTGGGGAGAGAGGAAGAGCTCTGTTTACCGAGGCTCATAGCCATTTTCATTTTACTGAGCCACTCACTTAGGAACAGGCAATAAAAGCTGCAAACAATCTTTTATTGTTCCTAGTAATTTATCTGCAAGATAAAAGGTAGATATGAGTCATGGTAAGAGTATCAGAGGACATAGTAGTTGACTGGGCGTGGCTGAAGTTGTCACACATCAGATTTACAGTGTGTGAAGAGAAACTCAGGGAGCAGTTTAGTTGGGATGTCTAGTGACTGAACTGACAGGATTTAGGATGAAGGAGAAGGTTGCTTTTTATTTTAAGGGAATAAATTCTACTCTAGCTCTAAATAGGTTCGTCAATTTCAAGACCAGTAGGCGGGCACAGACCAGCCTCTTTTATACCGTGTCTTGGTCAGCATCTCCTTGGGTGCGGGGGCGACCTTGAGTGTTCCGCTTCAGTGTGCTCTGAAAAGGGGCTTGGCTGGGCCCATCAGAAAACTGCTAGGCTCTATCAGGTTCAGTGCATTTGGTACCGGCTTCTGAGTCTGGCTGTTAAAAACCTGGCCTTCTGCAACCTCGTTCACTGCTGAAAATTCAAAAGGGCTCAGAAAATAGAACCTTCCCCACTGAGTTCTGCACCAATTGAAAAATAGGACAAAAGAATAAGGAGAAAGTAGCCAAAAATGTCTTTGTTGATACTTATAAAAGTTATATTGGATAATATGGATTTTATTGGTAGGCAGGTGGGTTTCCCTTTTTAAAAAATATATATTTTTATTGATCTCAGAGAGGAAAGGAGAGGGAGAGAGAGAGAGAGAAACATCAGTCATGTGTGAGCAAAACTGGCCAGGGTTCCTTTTTTTTTTTTAATTAAAAATTATGACGTTTTATTCAAGGGTCTTAGGATTTGCAAATTGAAAAAATAACTAGGGACTACCCAGTGTGTTCCAAAGAAGAAAGAAAAGTTGCGAGTTTTAAAAAGCACACATTTGAGAAGTCAGTCCTGCATTCTTAGCCCACTGATTGGTTATCTTAAGAGACACATACATCTCCAGCACATGAACATTCTTTATAAAGTTTATCTATGGAATTTAGGTAAATCCAGGAAACTGATGGTTCCCTACTTTTGAACCCTGGATTTAAAGAAATGTACCCACCTAGTCTTGCATAGCTCTGGCCAAGCCTCTTACTACCACCACCACTGGGAGCAGAGCTGCCCTGTGCTCTCTGAGCAGCCTCATTGCCCAGAATGAGGGGGTCGGGCAGGCAAGGTGAGGGTCACACCGGTGGAGGCCCTATGGAGGAAATGCACAAGTGGGAAGAAATGTGTTTCCATTCCGCCTAGTTCACGCCCAGCTAACTGTGTTCAGAAGTCCGCTTGCGGTATCCGAGCTGGCAGGCAGCTCCAGGTGCCCCCAGAAGGACTGATAAGGATGGGGTGATTTTTTTGAGACCAGGCCTCTCCCGGTGCGACTGCCTGTCACTGGCCTGACCTCAGGCTGGTCATTTGGTCATCCTTACCAATCATCTGATATCGGCCAGTGACAGGAGTAAGAGGGAAACTTCTTCCTCGGGACACAGCCTCAATTTTCTGAGATGACACAAGTAATACCTGAATACGTGTCCGCTGGAAAATATAACAATGTAGTAGTAAATGGAGCAACACACAAACTGCTTCCCTTCCTCACACTCACCCCATCTCACCCTCTCCCTCAGTAACCCTGTTGACCACGTTTCATTCGCATCCTTCCAGACCTTTAGAAATTACATATGATAAGTTTTTATTGCACATAGCGTTCTGCAGCTGTCTCTTACCAGTGCCTTTTAAATCTTCCATTTTCTCTTAGCGTGTTTGCATTTCCCTTGCCTCCTAGAGTTTTAACTGGGAACAGTATAGCACATTTAACCATTATTCTAGCAGACGTTTAGGCAGCTTTTTAATTGTTTGCTGTTCCTAGTGATGCAACATGCACCTTTGTATGCTGCCAAAGCATATGAGAGCATCTTGCTCTGTCCTTCTCTTATTAGCCCCTTATTTGCATTTGGCAAGCTCGAATGCAGAAACAGTCTGACGGTGAAAATCTGAGCGTAGCCCCCTGGGTGAATCCCACCGAATGGCACTTCTGGGTTTGTGGATTCATTGGGTGGGGGAGTTTCCATTTTAATGCATCCTGGGGAAAGGGCCCATTTGGGAATTAACTCTTCCTTTCCTCAACAACTGCAGGTAGACCTCACTGGAAATACAAGTTAAGATACTTCCAGGTGTGATAGCATTAAATACATTAAAGGCCCAGTGCATGTGAATCTTTGAAGGCATCTACTTCCGCGATCAGCCACCTTTGTTAGCAATAAATCCCAGCAGAGGCTGGAGGAGGTGGGGGCGGCCTCTTCCAGGACAGCCTGGAGCAGTTGTTCAGGATTCTTCCTGAAGCTTCCGTTGTGGGGACCAGGACTTTGGCTTGAAGGCCAACATCTTCAGTCCTTGGATTCTCCCTTATGTGGCTTTCCTAAGTCTTAGCCAGGTGCCTGCCCGCTGCGCACATCACCACTGCATTTTGAGGCAGTGTTTTTGGGCCCGAGCTCTGTATGTCAACGAAGGGTTGCACACCTGGCTCCCTGTCCCTGCTACACCTCATATACCACGCTGTCCTGTACCTGTACTGACCTTGGTGACCTGAGGACTTGAACACCTTTGATCTCAACCAGGTGGTAGGATGTAATTGGCAGAGGGCGACTGTGCCATTAGCTCAGCCCTTTCCCCGATCTCCAAGCCCAGACTCTCTGTGCCTTCTCCCCGTTATTGACAGGCATGTCACATTGTCTCCGTCTAAATCCCAACTCATCTTTTTCTTCAAACAAGTGGTCTCTCCCCACTGTGTTTCCTGTCCCGTGAATGATACTCCGGGAACCCCTGGGAATCATTCGAGGCCCTTCCCATCAGGTCCAAAATGCTCAGCATGGAGTCCACGGCCTTCCCTCATCTGATGCCCATTTGGCCCTCCACCTCAGCTCATGTCCAGAAACTGCATGAGCTCCAGCATCCCAGCCCCGGCACTTCCCGTGTGCAGGTGTTGCTGCATCTTGCTCTGTCTTTCTCTTATTAGCCCCCTGTTTGCACCTTGCCCGCAGGTCCCTAAAGCGGGTGCCCTCGATGAGCCCGAGAGGCTCCTGCCCGAGAAGCTTCTGTGGAGCTTGGGAGTACATTTGGACACTCCCCCACTCTCCACCTACTTAGCTCCATTCCAAATCTCATTCGCAGTTTTCTGTGCCAGCCGCCCCTCCTGCATGAGCAACCCTGCATTTCGTGTTGTGCGAGTCCCCCTTCTCATTACAGTGTTGGCGTAGCAACCTCCCTTCCCCACGGGGTGGGATGTTCCTCTGGTTCTCCGCTTCCTTCCGTTGCTCTTCAGTCCCAGCCCCATGGCTAAGGCACGTTTCCTCGTGTCCCCCCACCGTGATCTTTAGCCTCCCCTAAGTAAACATTCCCCTGAGGGCGCTTGCCAGGTGACCTGCCTTTGCTGTTGCCCTGCTGTCTTCTAATTAAACAATAAAATTAAAAAATCAAGGGTTAAGCCGAAACCGGTTTGGCTCAGTGGATAGAGCGTCGGCCTGTGGACTGAAAGGTCCCAGGTTCAATTCCGGTCAAGGGCATGTACCTTGGTTGCGGGCACATCCCCAGTAGGAGATGTGCAGGAGGCAGCTGATCGATTTCTCTCTCTCATCGATGTTTCTAACTCTCTATCTCTCTCCCTTCCTCTCTGTAAAAAATCAATAAAATATATTAAAAAAAAATCAAGGGTTAAAAAGATAAAAAACATATATAATCATGAGCCATTTAAAAGCAGGGTGTGGTGACTCCCAGGTGGGAACCTGCCTGCTTTGTAAATCCTGCGGTGAAGCAACAGATAAACCAGTGGAGAAACCAGTCCAGGTTTCTGGAGTGCGCACTGCGGAAGTCAGTCTGTTCATTCACTCACCCAGCATAGTCGGCCGAGTGCCTGTTTGTCCAAGCGCTGATCCAGGTGCTGGGGACACGAGGGTGCTGAACCTCTAGCCGCTGTAGGACCAGTGTCCACGGAAAGAGAAAGACACGGAAGTGATTGCGAGATAATCACAGGTCGACATGAGAAGCGTGGATGGCGACCATTTGACCTCAGGGGCCCCACAGACGCCTGAGATTTCCTGTCTGTGCCGCTGCTTCATTTTTTTCCTGGAGTTCTTTAAAACCTATTGCAAACACATCATTTCACCTGCAGAGAATTCAGTGTCTTTCTCCAACAGAGAAGGGCTTTAAAAAACAAGCCAGAGTATAGCCACAATGTCTGATACAAGAAGCACCAGGTCCCTAGCATTATGTAATACCAGCCTGTGTTCCATTCTCTCAAAATACCTTTTCCATTTGGTTTGAGTCGGTTCATACAAGTGCCATAAGTACTGGGTTATTTCTATTTTAGTGTATGTTTAGTATAGCATTGCCTGTAGTGGCCAGAAGGGAGGGGGGGCACGCAGTGTGAATGCCCACAAAGCAGGCGATGATTTGGATTACAGGGGAGGGGGAAGGGAGGGGATTATTTATTTTTTTCTACAAACACCTCTATATTTCTATAAACACGTCTATAGTGTTTGACTTGGTACGAAGTGCAATGTGTTCTTTTTATATTCAAAGATAACGTTTTAATAAAGAAGAAAACAAGGTAATGAAATGACTCTGATGGCTTCGTGCTCTCTGCTGCCTTGCACCTGGCACTTCCGTGCCCCAGGGAGTTTGGTTGGGAGAACCCACCTGGTATTTTTATAGATTGTTCCTGGGAGTGGAGTAGCCCCAAACCAAGGGGTGGGTGGCTTGGGAAATGCATTAGTAGTGTATTGATTAACTTCACCTTGGGTGAATTTTTAAAACATAAAGATTATGGTTGGAGAATCCTGATAGACCAGGAACTTTGCAGATCTGTAGACCTTGTGCTGTTACAGTAATTTAGGGTCAGTGCTCGGCCATCAATGTGTAATACGGTCTGTTCTTTTCTGTTCCCTCGCCCCCACCCTCCCAGGCTTCAACCATGTTAAGAGCCTCCTTGGCACCCATGTAAGTAATTGCTCTTAGAAATTGTTATTGTGGAACAGCTATGGGTAAAACTGGAATTCAAAGTAACTTTAATAAATGCTCATCTGAACATGTGGAGGGTAAAGGAAATACCAGTAATTATAAGTAATAGTGTTAAGCCAGAAGTGTCATCTAATGTTAATTGTATTTATTTTGGTGAGGTAACCTCAAACGGAAAAGCTTGTTGAATAGTTTCTGTAATATTCTCTAGAAATTGATTTAATTTACTGTCACAAAGCAGTCAACAGAGTGTTACAATGTCTAAATTTTATGTCCTGGGAGGAGGGGCCACAGGATAGCTTTGTGTGAGCCTGAGCGTTTCTGTCCAGATCTATTGCGTTGTCACCGGGGCGGGGCGGCGGCAGAGGTGGGGGGGTGGGGGGTGTCTGACACTCGGCCGCACCAGGCTTGTGTGTCGAGCATCCCCTTTGCCCTCTTCTTTCTCTTTGAACTTGTGCTGCCGAGTAGGAAACTGAAGGATGTCCCACTGCTGCCCTCCTTGGATTATGAGAAACTGAAGAGGGATTTGATTGTGGGGAGCGACCGCTTGAAAGCTTTCTTGCTGCAGGCTCTGCGCTGGGTACGTACCTCTCCCGCGAAGCTGAGAAAATGACTGTACTGGTTTGCCGGGCTGCTACCTTGCTCGCATCTTTTAACCCATCTACTAAAGATCTCTCTCTCTGCTGTCTGCTGACACCAAGCTAAAGTGAAACAGCTTTTGAAGATAGCCTGGCCTCTCTTTAAACTCCTACATTGGCCTCGCTGTGGCCACTGCCTTCCCGAGGCCGTTTCACACAAGCAGTTTCGAGGCCCAGGGGGCTTCCTGTCACCAACCCTTTCCTGGTCGAGTCACACTGACAGCTGGTGGGGTCGACGTGTCCGAGCACCACCTGGTTCACACAGTGCATGTCCACAAAGGCCCCGGTGTTCACCGGCCACCCGAGCAGGCATCAGGGTGAGAACTACTACCATGTCTGTAAGGGAAAATAGAGTCTAACTTGTTCCTTCTCTCCCTCCTCTTCACACTGGTCATGGGTAAAGCTGGGATCCTCAGGCTCTTTGCTCTCAGACCCCCTTACTCTCTCAGAAATTACTCAGGACCCCAAGGAGCTTTAGTTTACGTGAATTTTATCTACCAATATTTACAGTGTTCGGAATTAAAACTGAGAAATTATAAAATGTATATTTATCAATTTATTTAAGATGAACAATGATAAACCCAGAATATAGCAACCTATTTTAAAAAATGTATCTTCCAAAGCAAAAAACAAATTAGAAGAGCAGCATTGTTTTTTGTTGTTTTTTTTGTTGTTGTTTTTTAATATATTTTATTGATTTTTTACAGAGAGGAAGGGAGAGGGAGAGGAATACCGAGTTAGAAACATCGATGAGAGAGAAGCATCAATTCAGCTGCCTTTTGCACACCCCTTACTGGGGATGTGCCTGCAACTTAGCTACATGCCCTTGACGGAATCGAACCTGGGACCCTTCAGTCCGCAGGCCGATGCTCTATCCGCTGAGCCAAACCGGTTAGGGCTAGCAGCATTGTTTTATATTCTTGCGGATTTCTTTTATGTCTGGCTTCGTGAACATGGATTCTCATATATGCTCCTGTGTTCGATTTGTCATAGTCACACTTCACATAGCCTCTGAGAGACTGAGTGAAAACAAGTCACAGCATTACGCTTAGCAGTATTATGAAAACAATAGTGACCGTGTAGACTCCCCAGAAGGGCTTCGGACCCCTGGGTTCCCCAGACTACACTTTGAGAACTGTAGGTCTAAGCCAACACTGGTTAGCTCCTGAACTGGACGATGCATTCTAGCTCACCTGGAATGGTGTCAGACTCCTTCACGGACCCCTGAGTTTCAGGGTGCCTCGGCATCAGTGTGCCTTGGAGCAGTTTCCCCATCTGGATAGAGAAGGGTCTCCTCTCTGGCATGTCCGAGGCCTGCGTGCTTCCTGGGAGAAGGCCTGGAGTGCTCCGAGGAGGCCCCAGAGCAGCAGGAAGAGCCCTGGGTCAGTCGCGATGTCTGCTCGGGTGTTGCGGCAGCTGACCAGATGGGTGTGGCGGCATGAGTCCTCTCTGGTGGCCATCCCTGCCCCGATGTTTGCCTCTCTGCTCAGGTGAGCAAACTCATCTTGTCTTTGGCTCTTCCGCTCAGTCGGTGCTCCTGAGCCTCTTGATGAGACAGGATGTTCCAGAAAAAATAAACAGGTGTCTTGTCTTACAGTTTTGTCTGTGCCCCCCTCCAGCATCTCCACTTTAGCCCCGTGCCCCTCACCCCCACCCAGTGCCCCAGGCCTGACCTCAGTGAACTGGGCAGAAGGGACACGCCTGGCATCCCCTCCTTTAATCTAGTCCTCTCCCCGGTAGGGCCTCCCTCCTTGGCTATGGTGGTCCAGTCTGTCAGCCACACCAGCCTCCACCTTTCAGTTTTGGGGGCTCTGCGGCTCTTCCTGACCTCTTCCCCCAACCCTTGTCCTTTACACGGCAGCTTGTCCTCAGCCAGAGCAGGGCCTGCCGTCTCAGGGATCTTCATCTATCAAGATTTTCCTGCAAAAATAAGGGCGTTTGCTCACGTCAGTCATGTGGTTTTCTTATATCCTAACTCATGCTAGTCCACGCCTGTGTGCACAAGCACACACCATTTCCCATGCTCCTGTGCTCCATTTTTCTTCTAGTCCTACAGGCAGTAAGGAAATTCTAACTTAAAACAGTACAACTTAGGCCAGCGGTTCTCAACCTGTGGGTCGAGACTCCTTTGGCGGTTGAACGACCCTTTCACAGGGGTCGCCTAAGACCATCCTGCATATCAGATATTTACATTACGATTCATAACAGTAGCAACATTACAGTTATGAAGTAGCAACGAAAATAATTTTATGGTTGGATCACAACATGAGGAACTGTACTTAAAGGGCCAGAAGGTTGAGAACCACTGACAGGCTTTTCAGACACTACAAAATTCTACCCAGCCACCCCTACACACACACACACATACACCCCCTCCCTACCCCCCAGTATTGCTGTGTCAATCCCAATAGGATAAAACCTATTTTGTTGGCATGGTGTTCATTCTGAGCCCTCTACAACTTCCCCTGTGCCCGCCCCTGTACTTCCCCACTGCCCTGAGCTGGCCCATACTCTCCCCACCACACTCACATCCCCTGTGCTGGCTGACAGTCTGCTCACCCTTCAGAGGCCAACTCTTGAGCCCCTTCCTGCAAAAAAGCAACGAAAAAAAAACCCCTCTCCAGGCGTTGGTGAGCTCTCCCTTATCTGTGCATGCACAATCCAGGCATTTTCCACTTGCCTGAAAATTTCATATGTGTAGGTTAACTCCTACACCCCCCATATCATCCGCTTAAAAGTACATCATAATTTCTTATCAGTGGATAGGTTGGCTTTTTACCTTGTTCTGCAGGATGATACTTATTCTGTTTAGTTACTGGGGCTGCTGTTTAAAACATACCCACTCTGCGGACATTCCTCCATAGTCAGACGTGTTACTTTTGCTTTTCTTTGTTCCAGCGCTTGACCACATCCCATCCCGGGGAGCAGAGGGAGACCGTGCTGCAGGCCTACATCAGCAATGACCTCTTGGACTGCCAGGGCCACAGCCAGGTGGGTAAGCGATGGGCCGGGCCCAGCCGGGCCTTCGTTCTTCAGGATTGGTCCTAGCAGCTGGGGAGACGTCCATTTCTGCATGTTTTCAACCTGGTGACCGTATGTCAGCCTCAGCGCCGTAGCTCTGCTCTTCACCCTGGGGGTCGGCCCTCTCTTCACGTCCGATAAAGAGTCCTAACAAGTTAGAACTGCTGGGTTCAACTCTGGAGCTCTGTTCTGCCATTTTTCCCTTTTCTCAAATTCCCAAGTCTTTCCCTCAACCTAGTTTATCTTGAGCCCTGAAAACTCAGCATGACTTATGACTGGCAAGGTAGGTAAGCAAATTCATTGTTTCTTCTTTCTTTTTTATTTTGGAGGATATGTTTTTATTGATTTTTTTTTACAGAGAGAGGAAGGATGAGGAAGAGAGAGAAACATAATGTGAGAGAGAAACATGGATCGGTTACCTTTTGTACGTGCCCCAACCAGGGGTCGAACCTGCTACCTAGGTATGTGCCCTGACCAGGAATCAAACTCACAGCCTTTGGTGTATGGGATAACGCTCCAACTAACGGAGCCACTGGCCAGGGTGCAAATTTAGTGTTTTTTTCACCTGGGCCTGCCTTAAAATGTGTCCAGCACCGTATTTGTATATAGCTCTGGACCAGCTTGTTCTAGTGGGAAAATGTCGGACCTGGAGTGAGATGAACCAGTTGCAGACCTCTGCCCCACCCCCGTTATATACCTTTCATGCGGTGTACTTTGGTTCACTGGGGAGCTCGGCGAGCCCTTTCAGTCTGAACGCTTCAGTTCTGGGAACTTTCCTGACTTACTTTGTAGGTGAGTCCCTTTGTTTTCGCTGTCTCTCTGCATGTCGGACCTCCTCTTGAACTGGTTCTCTAATTTTCTTATCTTCTCTCTCATACTTTACTTTTTTTTTAACTCCACTTTCTGGGAGATTTTTTCATCTTTATTTTCCAACCATTTTGTTGATTTTTCATTTTCTTTTTTATAGCATTCTGTTGTTTCGTAGATACAATTGGCTTCTGATATCTCTAAGTATTATTAGTGACATATTTTTGTTTATTTTTAGTCTTT